CTTCACACTAGCAGGTGGACCTATTGCATAGAAGGCAATGCTTCAACACACAATTGCCTTGTCTACGACAGAGGCAGAGTACATGGCAGCAGTTGAGGCTGCAAAAGAAGCGATTTGGTCGACTGGTTTGGCTTGTGAGTTGAGGGTGGAGAAAGAAGGTAATGTGTTGCATTGTGATAGTCAGAGTGGCATAAATCTTGCAAAGAATCAAGTGTTTCATACAAGGACAAAATACATTGATGTGAAATATCACAAGATCAGGGCGCTTATGTCAGAAAGAATCATTCACTTGAAGAAAATTCATACAAATGACAACCCTGCAAGTATAGTTACAAAGCCGGTCACTACGGAGAAGTTCAAGCTTTGCTTGGATTTGCCTAATGCCACTCATTGTTGAGAGTGAGGGAAGCACCCCATGGCAGATGGGGGTGCAGTCGCGTACCTTTATGGAGGTACAGGGATGAAGACATCTTGAGGTTATCTACAGGGTGGTCCGGATTTAAACCTTACCCAAGACCCAAACCCAAACCCATACCCAACATCTAATTTACATTTTTGGACCCAAACCAGTTAGGTCTAAAAGTTAAACCTCTTATTCAAGCCGGGTCATCCATGAGTCCTTAGACCTGATTAATGGCTAGGGGTGGCAACAGGTCGGATCCAGCTGGACCTGGACCTAGACTCGATTGGACCTGACTAAAAAAGAAAAAATTTAAAATTTATGTTAAATATATACATGTATTATTTAAATATTATAGTAAAAATATTAATTAAATATATTAAATACTATTTATAGGGTAATGATTTCATACAACGGTTGTATAGTAACATAATGCAACGATCTTCAAAAACCATCTTAGGGCCATTTGTTTCATCTAAAATTTAACATATACACTCTTTTCATTCTAATGAACAATCACAAAAAAATAAAATTTGAAAAAACAATTAAAAGTTTTTTTTTAGCCCCATTAACATATGTCGTCCATTTTAATAAGATGCTTATATCTATGTCTTAGAAGGATTTTTTTTTTTCAATTTTTTTAGATGCCTTTATTATCATTAGGTGAATAATGTTTAAAAATAAAAAATTAATTTTGAGTTCGTAAAGGCTAAAATATTGAAATTCATTGAATGAATGGTTTAGATTCGTCGTTGGAAGATACTCATTTTGACCATATTTATGATTCAAATCGATTTTTTTTGGGGGGGTGGGGGGATTTATTATTGAGATGAAGAGTGTGTGTGTAAAATTTTGAATCATACAAATATCACAAATATAATTTTTTAAAAATCTGGTTGCATTACACTATAATACAACCATTGCCCCTATTTCTATAATCATAAAGTTGGATCTACATGGACCTGGACTCCAATAAGATTTGGGTGTGATGTTTGGATCTGGACCTGATCCACTAGATTCAATTCTTGGACCTATATGGTCAGATTCGTCCGGACGTCAACCATTGCCACTTGTGAATTGATGGCCCCCTTTCACCAAAGTTTAACACTTACACGCAACCTCTCCATTCCTCACAAAAAAAAGGAAATAGAAAATTATATAAGGTGTCAGCTGTACTAGTAGGTGCACCTAAAAAACTACTAGGAAATGTTGTTCGTATATTGGAAACCTCTCGATCGATCATTTCAACCTGAATATTCATAGACATGAGAAAATAAGATTTTTAGTTCTAAAAATAGTTTATTTTCGGATGTATTATTTGGACCGTTCTTTTTAGAGATGTTTAAGTATTTATAGATCTGTTTGATAATCACAATTTTTAAAACTTTAAATTTGAGCAACAAAAGATTTTTTACATAAAAATTACATTTTTAGAGTAGTTTTGAGATGTAGCTTAACTTCAATAGTATAAGGTTTATACAAAAACCCCACCCCTCAAAAAATGGTCTCTCTAGCACATGATAGGAAAAAGGTGAGGCGGCCTCCTCGGCCAATGAGGGCTACACTTGTCGTTTCCATCACTGTCCAAAGCTGAAAATGAGGTTTCCAGGTTTTCAACATAGCACAATAAAGTCATCTTGGACAAAATAGAAACCCTAACCTTATCAGAAATGACAAAAATATGATTTATTTTTTAAAGGAAAATATGGCCAAATTATGTTGTATATTCCATGTAGGACCACCGTTCAATACAACATTGAGACAAAGGCAAGCTTTCTATGCTTTTTATCTAGAACATAGAAGTTCTATCCTCCCCCTTATCTAACTGTCCATTCTGAATAGAGGGTTAAGATTGTCCCAATCACAAAGTCATGTCTGTATACTACTTTATTTTTAATTTTTTTTATAAATTATTTTGACACCAAATTTTGAACGTCCATTCATATATTAAACTTGCACTAGCGAAAAAGATATAATTTTTTTTAATAAAATAAAATGACGAAAATACCCTTAAAAGTTTCAAAGGGTATTTTAGTCTTTATATTTTATCGAAAAATTATTTTTAATATTTTTTATAGGTGCGTCCCAATGAGAAGATGGCACGTACCAATTTTCATATTCATATAATTTGTATAAAAAAACTAAAAATAAAATACTTTAAGACGTCGGATCTAAGATTAAACAGTGGGTGGCTCTCTTGATCAAAATTGGACGGCTAGATGGTATGGAGAGGATAGAACTTCTATGTTGTAGGAGAAGCATAAAAACCTTTCATTTGAGACAAAATACTGTAAGGACATGGGGGAAATTTATTAAAATTTACCCAATTTATCAACTATTTAATACTTTAGTCTTTCCCTATTTCAACCAGGTCATATGTATTTTAATGGGCCTTTTGAAATTAAATAAACAAAAGGTAAAATATTAAAGGAAAAATTTTATACAATATGAGTAAGGTGCATCTAAAAAACTCACTAGTCATCTTGACCTCAAGATTCATAGACATGAAAAAAATATAGGGATTTCAAGGCCCAAAAATAGTTCATCTTCTAACATTTTATCTAGGCAATCAATTTTCAAGAATTTCAAGTGTTTATAGATATGCTTGATTATCACCTTTTATAAAACTTTAAATTTCATAATTGGGGGCGACAATGGATTTTGATAGCATCACAAGGCTTTGTGGCACAGAAGCTGCATTTTCGACATAGTTTAGAGGTGCACCTTACTTCAATAGTATAAGGTTGACACCATATAAAGACCTCACCCCATATTAAATAGTTTCATTTCTTATATGCATTATGAAAAGGTAAAATAAAACTATGAATGTTATGTTCATGTTTAAAAGGGCAGATTGTTCACCTACAAATCCGTGTTAGGTCATTGGATCGGTAATTTGGATTGGGCCTAAATCGGTTTGAATTATTGATTCAAGAAAAATTTTAAATAAATAAAATAAAATAAAATTTAAAATCAAGATTTACTGGTTGGGATTAAAGGGGATCTAAAAAAAGCATTAGATAATCTTAAAAAAAAAAAAAGGAAAAAAAATCTATGAGAGAAATAAGGCTTGACCCATACCATATTGAAATTGATTCGGTCCGTACCGATACTCATCTAAATCAACCATTCAGATCGAAAATCGCCTTCTATTATTACAGAAAACAACAAGCTGAGAAGCTTCACAGCCATTTATGCAAATGTTTTGGAAAATCAACCTCTCCCTACCCTTTATCACTATTTTTAAGCCCTGATCTTTTAGCGTTGACTTCATTGTCTGGAAAGCGCTACAAAAATAGAGCGTGAGCAAAAAATTAACAGAAATTTTATGGTTTTGAGTAACGAAAGATGGAGTATATTGTGAGGCGGCGGCCGTATGAGGTCGAGAACGATATCTCGTTGGAGAACCAGTATTGCACTCAGAAACTCTGCAAATCTATCTCAACATTAAAAAAAAAGGCAAAAAAAATCTTCAAATCTCACTTTGGATCATCATGACATCAAGATGCATGGATATGAGAAAAAAATGGATTTCAAATTTTGAAAATAGTGTATTTCGTAAAGCATTTCTGGACCATCAATTTTCAAGATTTACACGTTTTTATAGATTTATCAATCTACACTATTTTTGAAGCTTTAAACTTTATAAATAAAGATAAATATATAATCTAAGTCTATCACAATGATTTTCAATATTAAAACCACTTTTTTCGACACTTTTTAAATGTATGTTCTAATTTGATTGTTTAGAGGTTAGGCTCTATACAAACCACACCTTTTATAAAATAACACATATAAATAATGTATAACCATGTCATTGCTAGTCTAATCCTTGATGAGAAAAGAAGAGGGTTGTGTTAGGTTAACAACCAGTAGAAAAATATTTGCCACATCCCTGTCATGAATTAATGGACCCTAAATAGTTTTTTTTTTTTTAGGTCGTTCTATTGTGAGAATCGAACGAGATATAAGGTTGCTAAACATCACTCAAGCCCAATTCTGGATCCCAAATAGATAAGTAAGGTTCAGATGATGATGATGATAATCATGACGACTTCTATCAATAATGCATGGGGGTGTGGTTTGCATAATGTTGCAACCTTAAACAATCAAAGTAAAGTGCACATCCCAACTTGGTCATGTGGTTCACTTTTAGTGTCGAAAATTTTTAGGTTTGTGCAATAATCTATCTCATCTCATCTACTTTAAATTAAAAAAGTAGTTAAAATCAATATATCAATAAGTTTATGAAATATTGAAAATGAACCGTTTAAATATTGTGTTGCTAAATATATTAATTTTAAAACTTGAAATCTCTTTTTTTTCCTATGTCTATACATCTGGATGGATGTCGAGATTATCACTAAATTTTAATATGGTAATCATAATAAAATTTTCCCCATGTGTATACACGACAATAAAGGCATAACAAGGGCAGATTATCAACTTTTGATGATTCGTGGTGTCATGGTCATTAATTGTAAAGGTTTGGGCATCAATTACGTCTTCTTCAAGTATTGAAAGTATTAAAGGAAGGTTAAGATTATCATTCTGTAAAACAATGGGGGTAATTTCGTCATAGGTTTGTCTGATCTCGGGCACCTGAATTGCAGCGGGTTGATTTTATTTTTTGTGAAGGAACGGGTTAGAGAGAGAGAGAGAGAGAGAGAGAGTGCAGAGAGAGAGAGAGAGAGAGAGAGCTGCAGAGAGAGGCAAACAAATGGAGCAGCTCGTCAATTTCATCATACGTCCTCCCAGGTAAATGTTCCTCTCTTTCTCTCTCTAGTTTCTCTCTTTACTGTATCTCTCTCTAGTATCTTCTATTCTCTTTTTCCTATGGCCATTAAATCCATGTTTTATTTCCTCTTATTGATTTTATCTCCTTTCTCTCTCTCTTGATTCCCCTTTTTCTTATTTTTTTTATTGACCTTTAGGTGTGTTGATTTTTCTTGCTTTTCAATGTGATTTTACCTCATTGATGTTTTTCTTTGATCTTGGCCAAGCCTTTTGATCTCTCTCTGGTCTTCATTGATTTTCTTCTTGCAGCGTCTTTAATCTCATAATTCACGGAACTTTAATATTCTCTGTTTCTTAATCTCTTCAATCTCAATATCTACAAGGAATTGTTTAAGCCGGCCTTTCATTTGATGCATCTTATTCTCCATTTTTATGTGAATTACACCAATCTTTCTCTATCTATCCTGTTTATTGTTCTATCCGATTGCATTGTTTTTCGATTTTTTTTACTCTTGTCTTGTGTGATTTGACCATTTTTAAGTTTTAGCCTATTTTTTCCTTTCAGTCTTATTCTTATGTTTTTCTTTTTATTTTCTTTTTTTTGATTGGTGAGCTTTCCTTAAGTTTTCATCTTTACTTTTTCATAGGTAATAGGATTTTGGGCTCTTCTAATTGAATGTTTGCATTCGAAATGTTTATAGTGGTAGTGGATCCATTCCTAGAGTTTATCACTACCATTCTCTTCCTTTTTATCATTGTCAGGTTTTTGTTATCGGTATATATATTGTTGTTGTTCTTGTTGTTGCTGTTATCATTTGAGTTATTTATTTGTCTTTGTGATTTCCATATCTAATTGATATGACTTTTTGAATTCTGACTCTTTCTCTCTATCTGTCTCTCCCACCGCCTCTCTCCCCCCTAATTTTGTCCAATTGGGTCTGGGCCATGAATTGGGTTATTGTGGGATCCAAGAGATTTCAATGGGCTTTTGTAATTAATCCCTGCATCGAGCTCTTTCTATTTTGATTTGTTGAATATTTGATAGTTTTTACGTCTTGGAGCTGAACACTTCTATTGAAATTCTCATATGGAATTTGTTGGTTTGAGTGCCGAATACATTGCAAGTTTCGCAAGAAATTTTCCTTGAACCAACTGTAGAAAGCATGGTCCTTTTCTATTTTCGTTTGTACTTTTCAAATGATCTCGGGGGAAAATTCCCGCCTTCTTTGGTATCTACTATTCCTTTTAAGGACTGTTGGTATGGTTTAGAATTGGTTGTTTCATTCCTGGAATTGGACTGGATAGGAGGATTTGGTTGGGCTATCGTTCAGTATATGTTTGTTCCTTTCCTCTTCCTAAGCTACTGGTGTTGAATATCCCATCTCCACCTAGGGTTTTGGCCTTTGATGTAGTTTTTGACTAGGATCCTCTTCGTTGCCTGGATTTCCGGCATCCAAATATTCGTATTATCTATGGTCGAAGAGGAGACTATTTAGCATCCTTTATTTGATTTTAATCTCTTGAGATCAGCTTAGATCTCTTCATTCCACTCTTTGGGGTAGTCTGGGTGATGCCAAGGGCTAATCATGCATTCCTCCTAGAAGCATGGATAGGGTAATTGAGCACCACTTGCAATATTTGGTAATTTTTGCCCCACTTGCAATACTAATGAGGAATTGGTGGGAGAGAACCTATGTGATATTTAGCAAGGTGGAGAGCGACCAGCTGCAGCATGAAGATTTGCGAGAGGATGAGAGATTCCTTCATTTGATGGCCTTTCAGCCTTTGTCAATAGCTTGTTCATGGGTATTGAGGCAATAGGAATTCAAGAGGGTTGGAGGATAGTCATGCATTGTGAGCCCTTGATTGTAAAACCTAGGACATGAGTGTACACTGCAGAAGGGGTTTTTAAAGCTGGACTTTGATGGTTTTTCATTTGGCAATGTTGGTGTTTAGTACGGGAGACCTCTTCAGGGAAGGGGGATTTTACATAAAACTTTCGTTAGACACTTTGGTGTATATGATTCTATTGGCACAGAGGTAAGAGATTTGATCATGGGACAAGAGAAGTTTCTCAGCGCTTATCTCGTGCTCTATTTGTTCAAGTTCACGGGTTGCATGTGATTAAATGGTCATGACACACCGTACTGAGTGCTGACCCTTGGATGTTCACATGTTGAGATTTGTGAGATTCTAGTTACGCAAGTTCACAATTCCTTAAGGGGGCCACATAAAACTCTTAATTTTGGGGCAAAAGGAGTTGTTAAGCAGAGCTGAAATTTGTGAAGTTCTCCATTGTAATATGTTTTCTACAAGTGTTCTCTTTTTTTCTTGTTTATACTATGTTTTATGATGTAAACGTTCTAATTTACCTTAAATGATATGCTCAATGATTACTTCAGAAAAAACAATAACATGAAAGTATTGTATTATTCTCTTCTCCTTAAAAAATTATTATATTTTTTCTCTGAAAAAATTATTGAATTGTTCTCCACTGTCAGAGAAAACCCTCTGGCTTTTAAGGAGAAATTCATACCAAATTAAGATCGTTTTTTATTATGGAGATCTTTTTGTGCCTGCATGAAATCTTGTAACTTAAGTTTAGTCTGGCACAATCTAAACACGCATGGTTCACTGGTAATCCTTTCTCTTGTGGTTTTTGGGTCTCAATACTCACACGCTATGCTGTCAGTAGAAATAAATTAATGGATACGTAGAATGGAAATGATATTTCCTTGTAAGGACTTTGCTTCTTCATCTATGGACAATTCACTACCTAATGTTAACAGGCTGGCTGAAAAGGAATGCTAGCAATATTTCACTCCATGGGAACTATGGTAATAGTATAATACCAGTCCCTCGTCAATCAGTATTGATAGGAATAGGGAGTCTGGCATGTAATACAAAAAACATTGTACTAAAGTAAAATAAGTCTCTTTAGGAATATCCATCCCTTTCTTGTATGTTTTTCCTTTTCTATTTGATTTGTGCTTAAAATCTTGTATAGCACAAGCAATTGTATATTAAGGCTGCATTATCCCAAACAAATTTTTCTTTTTTCTCTTCAGGCTGTTTGCCAATGTGCAGTTGTGCTTGGACCAGTCAAATGCACATTATTCTGGTGCATCAAGCATTGAATGAAAACCATATTCATATTAAATTATGAAATAAAAAAGTAAAATATCCTTTAATTGGTCAGACCCCAAAAAAATCATCAATGGGCTGAATGACCCCAATTAACATTGGAGGGTTTACTTCTCAATTTAGACAATGTTTATATAAGGTGTCAACCTTATACTATGAAAATGAGGTGGACCTCAAAAAGCCACCGAAAAAAGTTGCTCCGGCCCTAGAAAACCTCTAATTGATCATTTTAACCTCGAGATGTGTGGATCTGAAAAAAAAAGAAGAAAAGATTTTAAGTCATGACAATAGTGCAGCTCACAATGTATTATTTGAACCGTCAATTTTCAAGACTTTCAAGGGTTTATAGATCTGCATGATCTATACTATTTTTGGAGCTTTAAATTTTAAAATTAGGGATGAAAATAGCTTTGAGACCATCATAGGACCCTAAACCTATAGGGTTAGACCGCCTCTTAGATGGTTCAAATTACTGAAATGTTGCTGCTTGTTCAAGTTCCCCCCTTGAATAAGGGCAATTTGGATTTTTTGAAAATATTTTGTAAGGAGGTACTTGAGTGAGTGTTAATTCAAATGTTTTGATCCCTCAATTGATTTTGTTAGGGGTTTTGACCACCCCTTAATTGATATTTTTTCCTGGCAAATAAAAATCAAAATATAGTTAGAGCATGATGATTTTGGAATTCTTAAGGTCTCTAATAAATCCTTGAAAGAAAATTTCCTCTCATTAAAGTAATGAAAGTGAAGCTAAAATAAAGCATGTGTTTTTTAATTGAAAAATGGTAAGTCCATCTAATATCATTATTAGGATTCTCAATAGCGAACTTTATTCGAACTATTACAATATATTACTAATGATGATAATATAGTATGTAATAATTATAATTAGTTATATATATATATATATATATATATAGAGTAATGATCCTATGAGACTTTCCCACACCCATGTGTGTAGGACCTCAAAGGTTCACCATTAAATTTGGCACAGATCTCTAGAAAAGTTATCACATGGGTGTGGGACTTGACTTTTCTAGATATCTGTGCCAAATTTAGTGGTGATCCTTTGGGGTCCTACACACATGGGTGTGGAAGGGTCTCTCAAGGTCATTTCCCATATATATATAGGAAAATGATCCTGTGAGCCAATGGGCTCACAGGTAAAAATGAGCACAACAATCTAGGCCGATTTGATGATCAAGGATGCCAGATAGTGTTTGAATTTTAAATTTTAATTTTTTTTAGAAATCCAAATCACTTGAAATTTTAGGCATGTGTTCATAAAAAATAGGTGAATCTTCAAAAAATATCAAAAAAATATTTTACATGAAAATAATTAACCAAAATACCCCCGTAAAGTTTCAGGGGTATTTTGATCAATATTTTTTTTTTGAGGATTATTTTTTTTATATTTTTATTAGGTGCGGCTTGATGAGAAGGACACACACCTAAAATTTCAAGTGATTTGGATTTGTAGAAAAAAATTAAAATTGAAACACTACCGGACATCCGTGATCGCCAGATCGGTCCGGATTCAATTTGGGCCGTTGGGCTCATTTTTTCTTTTGAGCCCATTGGCTCACAGGATCATTTTTCATATATACATATATATATGCATGTATGTATGTATGTATGTATGTATATATGTATGTAAAAATATTGGGTTGTTCAACGGGTAAAGGTTGCCCTATTCGTGGTAGGAATGAAACTCAAGATGTCAAGTTGTCGCAACGGTGCCCCGTCCATAGTAGGAATGGAACTCAAGACGTCAAGTTGTCGCAACCTGCCACCCTAACCACCGAACGTTGAGCCAATTCCTATATATATTATATATAGTTCTTAAGCATTACATATTTTATTATAATTGAATAATAGTTATGTTCATATTATTAATCATGCGGTTACTAATATATAATAGAAATATTTTTATATATAATAAAATGTCAATTAATAGGTGGCTGTAATATAGGTACTCATATTAGTTACATCTATATTTGATATGTAAGTGGTCTTTTTAGGCATCAAATATTACTTGACTCTTTTCCAGGGAAGAACGATTAAAATTATGACAATTCAATCTTTATATTGTATACATATGTCAATTATAATATTATATGTATAAATGCATATTTATTTTATTTTATTTTATTGTGTGCATATTTGTTTGTTTGTGTGTGTGTGCGCGCACACCCCTATGTGCATGCATGCGCATGTGTGTGATACCATTTATGCATGTATATTTACATTTGTTTCATTACATAAATTTAATAAGTGATTTTGTATATCTGCTATTGTCTTAGTAGTTATTATTCTATATTTCATTGGTAGGTCGCACCAATATAAACTCTATCTTTAATCAACAAGTTCAATATAAATTTATTTGTATTTCCTAAGATCTCTCATGTTTTAAATAGATAAAGAAAGTTGTTTTTTTATGTTTATCTATTAAAAGCTCCATTTATCATACACAGTTCCTCTTTTCCCCTAAACTCCTCGATTCCCCTAAACTCCTTTTCTTTCAAGGAATCTGCCCTAACTTATATCTAGCAATATGGTGTCTCTATCTTAACGCATGTCCTAGCATGTCCTACCATTAACTGCAGCTTAATATATATGGGTGTGGTTTCTATAAGGTTGCAACCTTAAACAATCCAATTGAGGCGCACCTCCAAATTTTATCATAACATGTAATTTTGGTGAAAAACATTCTTAGGATTATCTCAAAATCTATTTTCATATCTAATTATAAAATTTTAAGCTAAAAAATGGTTAAAACCAAGTAGATCTATAAATATATGAAAATCTTGAAAATGGATGTTCTAGATTATGTATTGCAAGATGCACTATTTCTAGGACTCAAAATCTTTTTTTTCCATATTCGTACATCTCGATGTCGAGATGATCACTTGAGGTTTTTCAACATTAAAACAACATTTTCCGATGGATTTTTTACGTGCATTTGTAATTCTACATTTTAAGGTTGCAACCTTATATAAATTTTTTTGATATATATAAATGTAAGTGCAAATATAAAGAGATACACATGTAAATATAACGAAATACATATTCAAACACTTTCTTGTATTGTCAATGGGGTAACAGATCATATTTGGAAAATATTAAAGTGTTATGCATTGCCTTTATGGTTTTGCCATTTCATTCTTCTTGTTAAATTGATGTATCATAAATCCATAACAATGATATTGTATCTTGTGGTTTGCAGAGCTGAATATAACCCAAAAACTGACCTACTGGACGAGAAATTCGTGTTAAAGGGACAATGGTTTCAAAGAAAGGACTTGGAGGTAAATTTTGTGACAGTATACTTTTCCATAATTTTATGGAGCTAATTATGCTTGGAGTATGCTGTTTGTAATGATTCGAAAGCATATGTGTTAATCTTTAATGTTCATGATTTACAATTGCCATGCTTATGTTCTTTTATAAGTAGTTGCAACATAGCGGCATTCAGTGGATTTAACACATCACAATCACTCCCCTTGAGACATGCATTAATGGGAGATGGTATTGAATTCAGTCTGGATTTGCAGTTATAGCCAGAGGATATTAAATGTCATTGTAAACAAGGATATAAGCCATGTTACTCCAACAGTCCAGCGAAGGCCAGTGTTGCGTACCATGTGTTGACACCTCTGGACTCCTAAAAGATAAAACCAAAAAAGCCCACAAGGTGCTCGGGACTTAAGACCTCTTGGAGAGGTGCTGTGTGGTCCTGCACATTACCACTGATTACTATGTTAAACTGAGCTGATTTCTAATCTTAACTTCAGGACATTTTATGATTTATAGAGAAAGCTTCTATTATTTGTTTAAAATACTATTTGTGTGGAAGTATTCTATGTTTCCTACACTTTATGCTCGAGAGCTACATGTGAGACAACAACACTCATATTGATTTCCAGGGAACATTGGATATAAGTCAATTATTATTTTTGTGTTCAAAAGGAAACTTTTTTGTATATTAATTAATTATGTATATATAGAAATTGCCATTGGTCTAAGAAGGGTGATGACCTTAAACTTCCTTAACCTGTCCCATACCTGGGCTAAAAGGGCTAGGTTGTGTTAGATAGGCAGCCAACGTAAAACTTTATCAAAACTTATCATGAATCTTGAACCTACAGTACTGAGGGTATGGCTCTTAATATAGTAGAATGACGGACCAAAATTCATGTAGCCAACCCCGATTAGTTGGGAAAAGGCTTTGAAGACGATGATGATGAAACAAAAATTTTTATGCACGTAACTTCAGTGATTACTTTCTGGAACACGTCAATGGTATGGAGATCATTGTTGTTCTTGAGTTCCATTAGTGATTGTTTCCAACCAGAAATTAGAAGTGAACATTTGATCAAGGCATGTACCATCTCAAGCTATTGTCTATCGTAAGTTATGTACATTGTGCAACCTATTGTCCTTTGCAGTTTTGGATATTATGTTTCTTATCATTTATGCTACTCAACTATGTTGCAGGTTGTTAATAGCCGCGGAAATGTTCTTAAATGTACCCATTATTTGCCACTTAACATCCCTGAAGGAAGATCATTACCATGTGTGATATACTGTCATGGAAACAGGTGAGTCAGTTGATGTTGGATTATGGGTTCTTGTCTTAATTTTGATTTATTCTAGGGGCATGAAATATTTTCCTTGTGCTGCACCATTTCATGTCATTTTTTTGTTTTTATATAAGGAAGAAAAAGGTATTTACTTATAAACACAAAGGAAAAAGAAATATTACCTGTAAGGTCTGAGTTTCTCCTTTCTTTCTTGTTACAAAAGAAAATTTCTTTTAGCTTGATGTCATCTTTGTGCACCACTGCTGTATCAAGTCTATTTTCATTGCAAGGCTTAGTCACTCAGGTACTGTGGTCTGTATTAGAGTTGGTATACTGCAGATTCCATTTGAAATAGTGGAGACAATTATTTAGCTTAATCTAATAAATTAAGGGCATTTTTGAACCAGACCCCTAGGGATATTTTTAATCTTACTACTATGTAACAAGGGGAAAGTAGGCTTATTTTTCTAGTACCCAAGTGGCCACTATTTGGTGGAATTTTCTACACAAACAGAGTTCTAAAATGATATACACAAATGTGTTGCGGCAGAGTTCGTGCACGAGCAGAGGAAGATAGTTCTACAAATTCCTTTTAGTGATCCATCCAAACTGCCCCTTAAGTCTAGGGTTCTTGAGTGTATTTTTCTGCATTTATCTTGCCCTCCCAGGCTTCAAAACTATTATGTGTTGGAAACCTGCTGATCTTAGAAGGTAGCACAATTATTGATGATTTATAAACATCCAACTCTAGTGCCTTCAAAACAACATGTCCTCAAATGAAGTAGGCAAAAGTAGCATGTGGACATGGACAACAGCAGATACATTGCAGAATAGCATTATTAGTAAAGGAAAATTGCAGAATTGACAGCCTTCACCATATGATTTTCCATCATCATCATCATCATTAGAGCCTTTTCTCAACTAATTGGGGTCGGCTACACGATTCTTGATCCGCCATTCGAAGTATGATTTTTATGAAGTCCATATCCCAGCATTCTTACTTTAGGAGGAATTTGTCATCTGGTTTATTTGAGCTATCTAACCAGCTCAATTTCTGACCCAGGGATTTTTTATTGGAGGTGTTTTCTAATTTGTTGCTGTCTGGCTTGTGATTCCCTAATTTCATGATTCTCTTGAACTCAAAGCAGTAGTCCCTTAGTTGTTATTCCCATTAACTTGATCTGTACATCTTTTAAGCCCACTAAGTGCGTCTTTCTAATGTGCAGTTATTTCTTCTATTGCAGTGGTTGCAGGGCAGATGCAAGTGAGGCTGCAATTATTTTACTTCCCTCATACATCACAGTTTTCGCATTAGATTTTGCAGGATCGGGTTTGTCTGAAGGAGAGCACGTTACTCTAGGATGGAATGAAGTGAGAGCTTTAGTCTAGCATCTTGATTTCAAGTACATTATTTTGATTTTTAAACATGTTTGAAAGAGATCTTGTGCCTGGAATTTAATATAAATTTCATATGATTCCAATGCTTTTTCTGACGAGCGATCCACTATTATCAGATTCTCTTTTGCTTATTATTAGTGGTGATATTTGAATTGATTAGCTTTTTCAAGGGCTTGAATATTTATTTTAAACACTTAAATTTAATATTCAAGTAGATGAATCGATTTGACGTATTTTTTGGTGATTAGAATCACAAACAGATCCAAAGTTCCGAGTTTCTGTCTTTAATAAAATGTCCTTCAATAGATATATGGTGATACATACCCTTGGATTTGAGGATGTGACCATGATACCTACCTTGAAGCATTACTGCTTATGTTGTTTTTGTCTTGATTGGGCTTTTAGGAGCTATTATATTGGTTAGACTATTCTTGCTTACAACTAGTTTTGGTCAACTGATTTGCCCAAAAAAATTAACTAGTTTTGTTTGACTCCTCCATTTATATGGTCTTTCCTTGATAGTTTAGTCCTCTAATACAATGAAATAAAATAGCCCAACCTCTATTTTTCTTTCCTCTGGATCGCTGTTATGTTCTAGTATGGCCATTCATATGTTTCTGAATTTACAACCATGTGACATGTCCAAGTCTACTTTTGTGAATGGAGATGATATATCTAGATACATAGATCAATACTTGCATTTCAACTTTTTTTGGCGTGGTTTAGAAGCTCATAAGAAACATGCATTCATGAAATGCAATAAAATATTTCAATCTCTATTTTTCTTTCCTCTGGGTTGTTGTTACATTCTAGTATGGCCCTTCATGTGTTTCTAAATTTACAAGCTTGTTGATGCAATAGAGATCATGTATCTAGATACATGAATCAATACTTGCATTGTCTAACCTTGTTTGGCATACTTTCTGAGTAGATAGGCACTTGTCTTTATGAGCACATAGGCATATCCTTATTTCCTTCTCATTACATGAACTTGAGAGCATGGAAACTTTAATTTATGGGTTTCTCTTTATTTATCTCAAATGCCTTTGGTTTCTTTCCATTAGTGGATCTATCAAATTATGGCTCCTGCACTCTAAACAAGCTTGATTGAAGTTGTTTATTTTAGTTTTACGATTGACTTTTGGTTTAGTTTTCTCCAGAAGGATGATCTAAAGGCCGTAGTCAACCATTTGCGGGAAGACGGAAACATTTCGTGTATTGGTTTGTGGGGTCGCTCAATGGGTGCTATGACAAGGTTAATTTCATTGAATTGCTTCCCATAATCCCACTCCCACCTTCTATTTCAATTCTCTGTTTGTCATTTGCTTGTTCGATACATGGAGCAATTCTTAGCTCTATTAAAGTCATGTCACTTATTAAGCTTTTGGTTTCTTGATTTGGCCTTTATATCATGATCCATGCAAGAACTCTGCAAAACCTGCTTTTGCCTTCTTTTAAGCTGATTTTTGGACAGCTTTCCGTTCTAAATTTCCCTACAAGTGCCTTAGAAGTGTTGATTTTGGAACTTCCTATATGAAGTTTATACAACTAAGCTCACGACTGGATATTTCAGCAGCCTTAATTGAGAAATAGGTGGGAAGATAAGTGGGATAATGGGACTATTATTGAGCATGATTGTTATTATCTTTTTTTAAGAGTCCGATGTGGTATCAGAGATGTATGTGAGTCGGATCCCACCATGTAACGATAAGAGAATCTGAACTCCACTTGTATTTTCATGATAAGAGAATCCAGCCCTCGTTTTGTTAATTGAAAATTAATGATGGAATTTATCAGTATATTCATTTATTGTACATAGAATCTTTTAAAGAATATAGTTTCTATTAATGATAAATATAAATAGTATATTCATTTCTCCTTAATATTCTAATGAAAAGGAAATATCTGAAATGCTTTTTGTATCAACTGGCATTGCAAAGGAATGTTTTTCCCTACATAAGTATTGTCAATGCTATTCGGGGAGTGGAGAGTGGTCCATTCCTGCACTCCCCAAAATCCAAGCTTTTGGCCGGGTAGTTTTAATGGATAAGGTGTTAACTTTATACTCTGTAATTATACGGGATGCTGATACTGAACATGTAGGGGGTGCAAAATGGGTCGATTCAATCCGTCAACCCAATGAACTGCTAGCTCGACTTGACTGGACCCGGAAATAGACTTGACAGGTTGGGTCGGGGTCTAGTTGGACTTATCCAGTTTGGGTTGGGGTTGAGCGGAACCTAACAACTTGGAGCAAATACCTGGATGCAATCCTATCTGACAAGTCAGGTTTTGGGTCTGATGGACTTTGACCTGGCCAGGTCCATCTAGCCTGAACCTGCTCGGTTGGAGTTGAACCGCCCCGGACTCATCCCCTTTGTAGCTGCACGAAGATGCATCGTGTGTAAGATGAATGTTGAGTCCAAGAAGCATTTGTTCTTAGTTTTTGTTGAGAAGCCCTTAGGTATTGGTCATCTGCACTTGTATTTAATCTCATCAGGATCATTGGAAACATTGTTTCAGTGGTAGACCAAAACTCTACCCTGGAGCTGTAAACATGTTAGGGTTGACCCTGTCTAGACACAACCCAACAGGATTCAGGTTGGACCTGGACCTGACTGCCATATAGGATCTGGTCTGGGTTGAGAAATTAAAAAAGTAAATTCATATGTACGTAAAATGTATTATACACACATATGGACCCGATCCAACCCGGTTATGTCCAGGTTGGACTGGACCCCGCCTGGTCAGCTGGTAGACCCTACCCGTTTACCACCCCTAGCATGGTGGAGGGACAAGTAAAAAGCAGCTGTTGTCTTATTGGCCAAAATCAGAAGTGATTTTAGTAATTACTCAGCAGCATACTTTGGAAGTCAGTGGTACACCATCTCAACTGGCAAGGTCTCAAAGGGGACATTGAAGTGTAGAACCGATTCTCCTAAACGGGTGCTGCCTTTTGAAGGATTCCTAAAGTGATGGGAGTTAAGGACAAAACCCGGTCTGGCATGTGTAATAACAAGGTAGCTCAAATCAGAGGGAAGTTCAGGTCGTGCTTATAGGAATATATGACTTCTTAAATGCAATAGGATACACACTAAGGGAGATTCTTTGAATGTAATAACTTGCTGTTACAAGAAGAGGTACTACCCATGGCAGCTGGCCATTATTCTAAAGAAGTTTTTGATGCTGCCAGCAGCGTAATGCTCTCCTATCACTTTTAGAGGGAGTCCAATGAGCTTGCTGATACTTTAGTAACAGATGGAATTTCTGAACCATCCTTGGAAGTCAATGGAGTTTCTAAACCATCCTTGTCACATATTTTGATTCTTAGAACATTGCAGTTAGGGATTCATTTTTGTATATGAAGTATATGACATCATTGTAAATTTACATTTACATCATGGATTTTTCTTTCTTGATTGTTAATTGAATTTCATTGATGTTGTATGGAATTTCACAAAAATGACTATTCTTTACAAAATGGAGTCTAAGTACAGACGAACATATTTACAAAAACTCTGATGCTATACATTAAACACAATAACTTCAAGCTTTTGTTTGGCTACACCTTCCATTGCCAGAACATCTGCCTTTTGGTTAGATTCTCCTCCCATATTGGAAGGAGACAGCTAGGCTACTGCATCTTTGCCAAATTTCTTCAATTATTTAAGCTTCAAGGATGCTTGTCTCTTCAGTTGTCCCAGCTGACAATGTTGCTGGAGTTTTCTTCTATTATACTCGATTTCAACTATGGGTCCTCCACGTTTCCTAGGCTGGTTCGCATTGCCCACGCTTCTGCCTCATTGAATTTGCTACTTTGCAGATGGCCTGAATATGGTCTCATTATTCTACTTTAGCAGTCTTAATGTTCTCCATATTCCTGCCCTGCCAATGATAGAATTTGTTTTTGCATCAAATCTTCATCCAAATTAAGTCTTGCTACTTCCTTTGATGATGGTTCCCATCTAAATGGTTTGGTGGCGTTTGGTAATGTAGAACTATGCTTTTCCACTGTTTCTCAAAAGATGCTACTGAATATCCCCTGAACTCTCATCTTGTGCTCTCCTAGTACCATCATTTTGAGTTGCTCTTTTAACATATCAACTCGTGACTCTTTATGCCACTGAAGCATCTTCCATATTTCTCTAAACACAATATCCATAAAACTGCTAGGATGAACCAACCTCTATAGCTTCAATCTCCTTCAGGCACTGGGGGATGTGAACCGTTTGAGTAGTGAGTTGTGTTATTGAGGATGGCAGCACCCAGACCGAGTTGAAAAGCTTCGAGATGTAAGACTCTTGTAATTTTTTGCAAAGGGAAAAGATAAATTATGAGACTGGAAAAAAAACAGTGCTTCTGTTTTTTTTTTTTGGATAAATAGTGCTTCTCAATTTGTTTCGACAATATATTTGATCTTTTTGTAATATGGAAGATAATTCTGACATTTGCCCCTTCTTAATTGCATTAATCAATGTTGAGTTTCTTTGTACATAAGTCATATGCAGCATTTGGTCTTAATCATGTTAAAATTTTAGATGATCTTAAAATTTGTGAATTGTATTGTGTGGATTTTTTTAGTTCAAGGAATTTGCTTCATATATAGTAGTTGGTTGTAATGTTGTATGTTGAAGTTCTAAACAAGCCATATTCTCCATACAGAAGCCTATGTAATAATTCTTAATAAGTAAAGTTTTGTTAATTCCATGATGAAATTAATAGAAGCACAATGCAATCATCTATATAAATGCTAGATTGTATTTTATTGCTGGGACTTAATTAGCTTTAAAAACCTTGTGTTCTATGTGAAGTTTAATGTATTAATATCGTACATGTCTTTATCACAGCTTGATGTATGGTGCTGAGGATCCATCAATTGCTGGAATGGTTCTTGACAGTCCCTTCTCTAACTTAGTCGACTTGATGATGGAACTTGTTGATACTTACAAAGTTCGCATACCGAAGTTCACTGTAAGTTAAAAGCTGAGCCATTCATTTTATTATTTGAGTGATATCTTCCCAAAATCTTGAGATATATTGACATAAATTGGAGTGAGAAAGTGAGGGATCTTTAGCATTCACATAAATCTTACAACATGTTTTGATATTTTTAGCTTGTGGATACTGAGAAAAATCTACGTATTTCTCCCACTTACTCTAATGGATATATTTTATATTTAATCCAAAGTGTGGATATTAAATAGAGTTTGTAGAGATTTTTTACGTCTTTTTCACTAATGTAATACCTATCGGGGTGCCGAGTCCTTGGTGGATTGGCCTACTAATTTAGATTTAGAAAGGAGAGGTTTGGTTAGGGGATTGATAACCATCTTAAGGGTCAGGTTTCCTAACTATTATCAATGGAAAAAGAAAGGTCGCCTCATAGGAAATCCTTATTCACCCTGAATTTCGTTTGTGACAAGTGGTTGTGGAAGAGATAGGGCTTCAATGATTTTGTCACAATCTTTGGCTATTTGTGGAGTATTTGACATTGTGATGATCTATTTGTGTGAGTTGACTCCATTCATTTCTCATATTCCTTTAAATTGGTGCTTTCCAGTTGTACTTCATCTATGTATATCTTAACATGTTTATGTATGTCATTGTAGGTGAAATTTGCAATTCAGTACATGCGAAAAGTAGTCCAAAGAAAGGCCAAGTTTGATATAATGGTTCTCAATGCTCTTCAGGTCATATTCAAACTAAATCCTCTAAGTGGGATGGTTTCATGCAATTTATTTGAACTCATCTATGACGGGATACGCTTACTATAAGTGACTATACATTGGCACATCCATAGTCTCTGAGAGTTACTAGTTGCTGTTTGTTTATCTAATTATGTGCTAATGATTAAAATTGCAGTAGTTGACCATTGATTATTTAGTATTTTATTGGACCTATTGATTTTAGAAAACTTACATATTAATAACTCTTCAGTCATAAGAAATAAATGAAACATTTTACTTTCTAATTATGCCTTAGCATATAATAGGGATCCCAATCATCACATCGGCCAAACTTGTTTATCTGATAAATAATTGTGGAGTTTATATTTAAGCTGACTAAAAAGCCTGAACGTCTTTATGGACTCATCATGTTTGTTTCTAACTGTTTTTTTTTTTGTCCATTTAACTTCTACTTTGAAGTAGCAGATATTGATTTTGGAAATTGACTTTGGAGCCTATGCTTATATACTTCAATTCACTTTGAAGTTATTGGAGCCTATACTTATTCACTTTTGGGAATTTTCAGAAATTCATCTCTTTTTTTACTTTTTTTTTTTGGGGGTTGTGGGGGGGGGGGGGAGTGTTGGGTAATTTGGGCGTTTCAGTGTGCATTGGGGTTTTTGTCATGTTAACGGGAAATTTACTACTCTGGCCGAGTCAACAGTGTTTTAATTCTCACTTGGTTAGCTTGTCGAGGTGGTGAATTGAGATGCATTTAGACTTTGTGTTCCATACCCTTGCCAAGTATTTCTGCATACGTCAATAATATCTAATTGAAGTGGTCATGCCTTAGCATGCCTTATGCTAAATGCATCCTGTGTAAATTCTGGAAAGTTGAAAGTAAATTTGTGCTCCATTTGGAAGGTTTTATGTTTAATTAATTGTCATTTGACTGTTATCTACTACCTTGTCTGGGATTAGGTTTGTTTGCCACGAATCACATTTTGACGATTTTGCTGAATGCCCTTGGCCCTTGTTTGTAAGATAAAACATTGCTTTTAGAAGACCTCTTTCATGCAGTATAAAATTGTGAAGTTTTAACTTTTAAAATATTTGTTCTGCATTCTATGTTTGTTGCTCTAAGGTTCTTGCTAAGCACAAGAAAAGTGGATGTGACTCATTCTCTATTGCTGTTCTTTTAACACGGGTTAAAAATTTTGTACGATGTAATGTTATAGTTGTGCCATGTTATCTTTTTATAAGTCGGTAGATGTTTACTGATTTCATATTTGCTGTTTTATAGTATGGCCATTTATAAATTTTTCATACTAGAAATGGATATAAAACCTGTAATTGTAATATTTTATATTGTACATTTTATATTGTACTCGTTCCTCATGATTTGATTCATGTGTTCCTCGTCTTTAGTGTACTTACATGCTTTTTATTCTTATAGGTTGCAAAACATTGTTTCGTTCCAGTTTTATTGGGGCATGCCTCTGAAGATGATTTCATTCGTCCTCATCATTCTGATCTTATATACAATGCTTATGCTGTAAGTCTATTAGGTTTAACCTTGTCATTTTAGAATTTTTCAAGCCAAGCGTAATATAGCATTTTTTATTGATTAAATTCTCTTGCAGATTTAGTTCTTACTCATCGTGATGTTGTTTTCAAACTTCCAATGTATAACAACCATGGCATGGAACAACTTATACATATAGCTATATTGTGATTGAGGTTCTGTAGTTGAGGGCGTTGGATCCAAGCTAGTTCACACCAATGTAAATTGACTTTAGGCTTTAGACTTTGGGTCCATGTAGCTATAGATGTTCATAGAGTATCTGACAAACCAGACAATTAAGCCAGTGAGCTTTCTCATTGAAGGATGGTTGAGATGAGTTGCTATTCTGCGAACAGAAAATACAGGCTTCAAGAGGTACAGTGACGCATCTCCATCATATGTTCTGTGGGTGAAAGGCCTAGGTACCATTGTCACACATTTACAGTATTAGGCTTTCTGGAGTGTTTTTGGTTCTTGACTAATTTCCTGGCTTTGACCATTGGCTAATTTCATGGGTAGAACTTCTTCATTAGCCTCACTGAGAGGCTGACATTAGCGTTCAGTCCAGGTTGATTATATATGACACAGATCTCAAACTTCCAAGTGAAATACAGTATTCTCTTCTACTTCCTAAAACTTCTTTTCTATGATGCTTGGAATGTGGAACTGTTTTCTCAATTTGATACTGGGCATTGATTTTTCTACCACGGCCATCGGAATCCCTAGGGGCTAACTCTTGTGGGAATTTGGAGGATCTTTTCAAATCCATATGCAGGTCTTCTGTGAACATTGTTGGATACTTTTGTTGATTGAATCTGAAACTGTGAATCTTTTCTATATTTAAGCCACATTGCAAAATTTCTAACATGGGATGTTTTGTGGTGAGCGGAATGCCTGGCACCATTCATCCATAACAATTAATTTGGGGGAAGAGTTTTTTTGCTTGTTGAAACTATACTAGATTGATGCTGATAAAGAGTAATTTGTTTGAGCAATGCACATGGATAGATATTAGTTGATGTTATACCTGTTCTCTGATTGGGTTTCCTACCAGTTCTCTGTCATACCTTGACATAACAGTAATATGATCAGTTTGATCTTGCCTACGTTCTCGTAGGTTGTGACCAATGAATGAATCTCTTTTACCGGAACTGTTCTGGATTTACTAAATGAGATAAGAGTATATTTTTAGTAGTAGATGGAAACATAATAGATTGACATGTTCACTTTGTCCTGAGACTGTGACCTATACTTATTGTTTCTACCTCAGGGGGATAAAAATATCATCAAATTCGAAGGTGACCACAACTCTCCACGCCCTCAATTCTACCATGATTCTGTAACCATTTTCTTCCACAATGTCTTGCAACCTCCAACTGACTTGAGTGAAGGAAGTACTCTACGAGCAATGAATGATTACATGGATGAGGAGGTATCATGTCATTGAAAATTCATTCTGATTTCTGTCATAGTTCGTGCATCTTAAATAGCTTGGTTTTCATGCTGAGGTTATGGTTTATGGTTCAGGATTCCATGTGGTTTATGAGAAGGCATAATTTTGAAGAACCACCTCTCCCTGGAGGTATGACTTGACCTTTGCAGTGTGATTTTCTCTTTCTATTGTTGGTACTGTTGTCTCGTCTTTCTTAATTGGTATGGTTGTGCAGATATCATGGCTAATGGCACAGAAGAAGCTATCAATCAGTTACGTATGAGAAGACAAATAAGTAGCATAGAGGTTTGTCTCTAAAAATTTTTATTTATGGTTTTGCCTTTAATGGTTTAAATGCTTAACAGGTGGTCCAACATATCATGTCATAGGCCCTTTATTTTGACTGAAGATTATGTAACTTGAGTTTCAAAATTTACGGATGCTAAAAAAATCTAAGTCCACTAAATATAAGAAGACAGAATGTGTTATATCCATTTGTCATTTACTGTTGCTTGTATAATTCGATGATCTTTTGCTATTTGTACTTTTCATTTTCTTGAGGGTTTGTCTCGTAAATGTCTTCAGGTTCCTTCTGATATAGGGGAGCAACCATTGCAATCCAGAATGGAGGTGTGTATGCTCAAGTCATTCTATTCCTATGGTTTTAAAGATCCCTTCTTGTGTTTAAACATTAAGCTTTCACTGGCAACTTCGATTTCTTAGAGACCATTGAATATTTCTCTTTGTCATGGGTTTTTGTTGCATCTTAAACTGTCTTGGTTCAAGACTGCACTTACTATCTTGAGCTGCAGGAGAGAGAGGGTGAAGTTGATCAGGGTTCATCATCTTCAAGATTTGGCGGCACTGACTATGATTCTCAACCTTATGGTTCTATTGTCTCGACCCCACTGACTAACCATTCCAGGGACCATTCATTTGATGGTTTCGTCCTCCCAAGTGATGCAGAAGATGAGGAAAAGGTGAGTTATTCCACATTTTAGGCCAGCCAAATTAAAATTTTTGTTTATTTCATGAATTCTAGATTTTGATTTCACCAATAACATTTATGAACCTTAGATTTCACCTAACATAGGGTGAGGTTTTGTTGGGCAAATTGGTATAGTGGCCAGCATGTGATCTCTCTCTCTCTCTCTGTTGCGGGTCTGATATTTCTATGAAACATTTGAACTCCAGATGATAATGGAAGCTATGATACTGTCCCTCCAAGATTTAGAAACTTCTCAGATGAGGAAATCTCCAATGCCTGATCCCCAGCTCGAGCCCTCCAGTGTATCACAATCGGACTGCCCAGAAGCTTTGGCAGTGGACCCTAAAAGCCCCACAGAGATGCCTAGCAACTTTCCTTCAAGGGCCACCTCATGCAAACCGAAAAACCCATCAGAGCCAGTGCAAGGCCCACCAGAAAAAACAGGCGAATCAAATGGTGACACTTCGGCACACAATGAGAAAAGGGACCAACCCAAGGTTGATGCATCAGCACAAAATGCTGATGTGGTGGTCGTGAAAAATCCTTCTGGCTTTGTATTGGAGGGGTTGACTCATAAATGGGGTCTCAATTTCTTTAGAAACAGTGATTCTAGCAAGTGAAATGACCAAAAAAAATTCTACATAGTGAAAGAGTTGGAAGATGGAGGAGAGGGAGATTGGAGAGATGTATTGGTTTAGCAAATAGGTGTGGCATTGTAGTGTATTTTGTATATTGCCATTCTTTTGTGTATTCTAACATTTTTTTTTTTCCTTATTAATATCCACTTGTTCCGAAAAAAGAGGATTTTAGGAGTCTCAATTCTTTTCAATTTTTAAATCTTGAGCAAAAAGAATATAAGCTCCCGGAGGAGAATCCTACATTCATTCCTCAGGTAAAACGCTAGCTGGGTGTACTTTTACGATCCACGTTTTTGGGACGTAACCTCAACGGCTATCGATCAAAAGAGATATGGGCACATGGTTCCTGTCGTCCTGTTTTTGGTTCCTTCGGTTGTACATGACTCTCTGTTTTTAAATTCAATATTCCTATAATATAGCATTAGACAGCCTTCAAAATCTAAACTGAGGATCTTGGTTGGTGTGAGCAGTGAGTTGTAATGATTCATGAAGGAGAGCTTTAAAAAATAGAAAAATGGACAAACACTTTCGTTGGGGCCTAAAAGACAAAATATCATGAATTAGATCATTGCCCATTATGTATAGATATGGAGGGTGTGAGGTTGGTAGGCAGCTATAGTAAATGCTCAATGACCGTATTGGATTTGAGCCGATTTAATCATTATGATTAAATTTTGTATTTGAGTTTTAATGTTTTTTTTTTTTTTAAATTTAATTTATTAGGAATTTGGAGCGTTTATTATTGAAAAATTAGAGAATCTTATAAATATATTAAAAAATAATTTATAAAAACTAAATAGATCAAATACACTTGAAATCTATAGGGTTATTTTTGTTAATTTATTTTTTACTAATATTTTTTTAATATTTTATTAGGTGCATTTTGATGAGAAGAATGAACGTTCCAAATTTCACGTGATTTGAATTTCTATAAAAATATTAAAATTCAAATATGAAATACAATCGTGACTCTCAGATTGGTCGAGATTCAATCTGGGCTGTTGGGTTTACACTATTCCATAAGCTAATAGGCTTACAAGATATTCTCCCTCCCCTTATATATATATATATATATATGGAAAATTCTTTTCAACGCCTATAGGCAAAAAATGAATAGTGATTTTTTCTATCCTCATCACCGTTCAAATTTCATCCCGTGGTCACATTAATTTTTTAATATTTTTTTCTATAAATTGGAATGACCTGAAATTTGGAGGGTATGTACATCTTACTGAGGCGCATCTAATAAAAATATAAGAACAATTATCAATGAAAAATAAATTGACTAAAATACCCCTGAATAGGGGTATTTTGATCAACTTTTTAATGTAAAATATTTTTTTTCTAATTTTCAAAGGTTCTCCTATTTTTATGAATAAATGCTCCAAATTTCAGGTCATTCCGATTTGTAGAAAAAATATGAAAAATGAAACACTATCAGACAATCGTGACCGCGCAATGAACTTTGGACGGTGACGAGGGTAGGCGAAATCACTGTTCATTTTCGCCTATAGACGT